ACCATTGAAGCGGCAGCTCAAGTCTAGACATCTACAAATGATCGCTATTGGAGGTGAGCTTCCGGTCAGATTGTTTTACGTGATTGAGTGTTGACCAAAGTATTCTCAGGTATTATCGGTCCTGGTTTGTTGGTGAGCTCGGGAAATGCGCTGCATGAGGGTGGACCCGCAGGGGCGTTGATTAGTTTCTCGCTCGTCGGCATTATCGTCTTCTTTGTCATGTGAGGAGTGGACTTCCTGACCGCAAGAATGATTCTAATAGCGATAGGCAATCATTGGGTGAAATGGCCACCCTGCTCCCTGTGACTGGATCGTTCACCGAGTATGCAGAGCGCTTTATTGATGACTCCCTCGCGTTTGCGCTGGGATGGGCGTATTGGTACTTATGGGTGACTGTACGGCATACATGGAGGATTCAAGTATTATAAAGGGTCTCTTGCTAATACGACAATCCAGGTTCTCGCAAATGAATACAACGCGATATCACTAGTCATCGGGTACTGGACAGATGCTGTTCCTCAATGGGGCTGGATCTTGATCTTCTGGGTGATGTTCCTTACCCTGTCAAATCTGGGGATTTTGGCCTACGGCGAGATGGAATTTTGGCTATCTCTGTAAGTTTTCGCGTGCTTGGGTGTGAGGCATCAAATTGTGGGCTAATAGACTGCAGTATCAAAGTGTTGGCTTTAATTGTCTTTTTCATCCTCGCAATTATCATCAGCGCAGGCGGCATTGGACCACGCGCTATTGGATTTAAATATTGGCATTCCCCCGGGGCATTTGCAGATTCAATCAATGGTGTTGCGAAAACCTTTGTCGTTGCGGGAACCCTGTATGCTGGAACTGAGATGTATGTTCCCCAATATCGAAGGTGGCGGGAAATGGCGAAAGCTGACAGTCAAATTAGGGTTGGCATAACCGCCGGAGAATCAGCAAATCCCGAAAAAGCAGTACCAAAGGCTATCAGGCAAGTCTTCTGGCGTATCCTGATTTTCTACGTTGGTGAGTTCACATTGAAACAGAAGACTAAAGCATTACTGAACTATATCCAGGTACTATCTTCTTCATTGGAATGCTCATCCCGTGGAATGACAAGAGATTGTTGGGCACAACGTCAAAGACAGCCAGCTCCCCCTTGACAATCTCGTTAGAGGATGCTGGGATTCTCCCAGCCGCCCATCTCATTAATGCTCTCATTGTGATTAGTGTCATTTCCGCAGGAAACAGCTCACTGTATGTGGCATCTAGAACGTTGCTTTTCATGTCCCGTAATGGAAAAGCCCCCAAATTCATTGGCCGAACGAATCGTCTCGGAGTCCCATGGGTGGGCTTGGTTTTCACCAACGTCTTCGCATGCATTGTGTTTTTGGAACAGTCCTCTAGTGCTGGGAGAGTTTACTCGGCGTTGATTACCCTTTCAGGGGGTATGTTTCCCTTCCTAGACCATTCCCAGAAACACCGTTGTTCCATGCTAACAAAGTTTAGTTGCAACTTTTATTGTTTGGTCGGTAATCGGAGTTGCGCATATTAGATTCCGGAAAGCCCTGGTAGCGCAAGGCCAAGACCCATCAAAACTCCCATTCCAAGCTCTCTTCTACCCATGGGGCACCTACCTCTCGCTGGCAGCAAATGTGTTCCTCATTTTCTTCCAGGGGTACACTTGCTTCCTCAACCCTTTCAGCTCCACTGACTTTGTGATCAACTATATCCTGCTTCCTGTGTTTGTGTTGTTTGTGATTGTGTACAAATTCTGGAACAAAACCCGCGTCGTTCGACTGGAGGATATAGATATCTGGACCGGGCGAAGGGAGCACGTCGATTCGGAGGAGCCCGAGTCGCCCAAGAAGGCCGCCACGTGGTGGTCTCGCATTTATTCCATTGTTATCGGGTAGAGAAGTTACGCTTTGCTTTATACTATACCCACTCATACACAATATGAAGCTACCATTCGGTTATATGCAGCCGTCCGAAGTCCCATGGAGACTAGCATGTGAGACAATTGGACCTAATCTACCGTGTAAAAAGAAATTGCCGAATATGGCTTTGTGCGACTGACAACAGAGCACCAAGGACCAAAACATGCGATCTAATCAGCACGCAGTGGGCCAGAGATGATAGTTTAAGAGATCAACACGGAAACCGTCGGAGCGCGGGACATATGAGGGGAAAGCAATATACAGAGTATGCGAAGCGCAATCGAGTGAAACCCCTTATCTCGGCAAGGAAAGAAAAAGAATTTTGTTCGTAGCTAGATGAGCGCTATGCCTAGGAAGTCACTGCAACAACATATATTCACTCACTCGAATTTCACACGCCGACAACAGGATGTCTAACCCCACATGATCCGCTGAGTAATGGACCATTAGATCGACATCGTGCCCGATGGTTGACTGTGTGATTGGTCCGATATAGAAGAGAGACCCTGCTCGTCTCAGCCGTATCGGTCTGACAAACGCCCCATCCCATGCCGAATTTACCCCCGCCCGTCGATCACCTTCTCGGATACGGCGAGTTTCCGGGAATCCAGAGCCCTGGCACCACTCGATTCTTCACGCTGTCCCCAGTTAACCAATAGGGACCATCTTGTACCTCGCTTTGACTTTTATACTTCAAGGCTGCCGGTCGGCGAATGTTCCTCATTCGGTATAGTGGCTGTTAATTGATCATTTGGACTTGCAGAATACCATTGCCAATCAGAGACAAAGACCGCTGGCTGCACAGAATGTAACATCGCATTGATAGCGAGTAGATTCTCTTCACATTCCGGAAATACCTCCGGCAAGATGTATTTAAACCATCATATTTCCCAGAAACATTGAGGTCTACAGGTCAAGAAATATCCTTAGCCAGCCAAGTACTCAAGTCTCCTAGTCAACCACATCGCCAAAATGCAGTACACAAAGGTAATATATTCTTCCAGATCAACGGCATCAACCATCAACCATCAATCATTAACACAAACCTCACCTAGATTCTGGCTGTGGCCACCCTCTTCATCTCCAGTGCCTTCGCCGCCCCGCTAGATGTTGAAGCTCGCGCATGTGCCGCGACTTGCGGCACAGTCTGCTACACTAGCAGTGCCATCAGCTCCGCCCAAGCAGCGGGATACAACCTCTACAGCACGAATGACGATGTCTCCAACTACCCCCACGAGTACCACAACTACGAAGGTTTCGACTTCCCCGTTTCAGGAACCTACTACGAATTTCCTATTCTCAAGAGTGGCAAGGTCTATACTGGTAGCTCTCCTGGTGCGGATCGTGTTATCTTCAACGACGATGACGAGCTAGCTGGGGTAATCACTCACACTGGTGCTAGCGGTAACAACTTTGTGGCATGTACCTAGATGATGAATTGGAATTGGATGTGATATTTCTGAGAACGTATCTTGCTTGATGTGTTTATTTGAAGTCTAGGTATCTGAATGTAGGAGACCGCCTTATCACGTAGACATAGCGCTCAAACTGTCAACGTGCCGTAAGGGTCTCCGTTGCTTTAGGTATCTAGAGGCAAACAACAATCGACACCCGCACATTTGCGAGAATGTTGGAACTTATCGTCGACGGGGTTTGATACCGAAGGTTGGCAGAGGAAATATATGAACAAAACGGAGTATTTAGGTACATGTTATGTGGACATAATTTGGGTTGTCAGTTTTGGGTTGGTTTTGTTGATGTCGGAACCCAGCGGGTGCACATTATTAGCCCCTCGCAAGAGTCGACAAATGTTGTCGGAGAGTCAATTGAAAGCTGATATCTGCCCAACGGATGGAAGATTAATATTTGATGCTATACAGCTAGGTGCAGTGGAGATGTGATTATGGGATGGGCATGAAGGAGAAACCTGATGGACTGTGTAGAGGGAAGGGTCTTGTGTCACTGAGTGCGGGGTCGCGGTCTCAACACTGTGTACCCTCGACACCAAATGAAAAGAGATATAAAGAGTAGAAGGAAAGCGCTACCGGTTTGGATCGTAGTTGCCAATTTTTGCCGTCACCCGTCACTACGACAACTGTGAATTTCAACTAGTAGAAGGAGACATAGGACCCGAAATACGACAAGTGTCATTTCTGTCCCCACCATGGCCGCACCTCACTTTTGAATGGGGATGTGCTTGATAGGTCTGATGATAGATATTTTGTATTGCTTTTTAAAGGCTATCTTCCTCCCAATATCCTATAATATATCTTGCTCTTGTCTACCCTGTCAAATACACCGTTCACAGAGCCCAAAGATGGCTGCAGTCCATACTATCACCACGCACCAATACTTTTATATTGAGGCAAGGCAAGGCAAGGAATTAAGCCCTGGAGAATGATGGTAAAAAAAGTCATCTGACACAGGCTGTGCTTTTGGTAGGAAATTTGCAACGTGTTCTCCTTAATAAGCTGTCCAATAGCATTTAAGAATAATAATACACCATCTCTTAAGTGGTGTACAATCAATATCAGCGGGAATAGGGTGATGGTCGTAGTCTGCAGGGTGAAATTCATGATGGCATTCTCGTTCAAAAAGGTCTGATCAAAACATTTCCCCAATTTGGGTATGCCGTTGGGGACAGGAAGTGCTCTCACGCAAGTATAGATCGCGCCATAACGATTATGCTCATATAATGACAGGTCGACTTTGTCTTCAAACCTTGGAACTAGTCCCATGGTTGGATCTCGGGTAACTTTGAAACCTTTCTAAATTTGGAAAAGGTGATCTCGGAATAACATAACGCCTAAGGGGCTTCGGCCTTACCAATGCCCGAGGCCGAAGATTTCTAATAAATTAGCGACCCCGAAGGCGTTTTAAACATTCGCATAAACAACGGACGAACTTTACGGGCGGATTTGACAAATCGTTCGGCTTTTGTCCACAATGATTGATAATGGGAATTGTAGAGAAGGGGAGATGAGCATTAGACAGAATCGATGGGACATATAAACTCCAAGCTTGTCACTATGAATATGATCACAATCATCAAGATCCAGCTTCAATCACACTTAAATCGCAACAATGTCATCCACCATCAAGCCCATTCAGCTCTACGGTAGCATCCTTGGCCCCAATCCCCAGAAAGTCGCAATCGTCCTCACACTCCTGGAGCTTCCATTTGAAGTCGTATCAGTCCCCTTCACCAAAATAAAAGAACCTGAGTACGAAGCTATCAATCCAAATGGCCGCCTACCTTCGATCCATGACCCAAACACCGACCTGACCATCTGGGAGAGCGGTGCCATCATCGAGTACCTTGTCGAACGTTATGACACCAAGGAACCCCGCAAGCTCAGCTTCACGCCGCAGAGCGCAGAGGCCGAGCTTGCACGCTCGTTCCTCCACCTCCAGATCTCTGGTCAAGGGCCGTACTACGGGCAGGCGTATTGGTTCAAGAAACTCCACGGGGAGAAGATCCCAAGTGCAGTGAAGCGCTATGTCGACGAAGCCAAACGCGTGACGGGTGTACTTGACAAGTGGTTGGCCAAGCAGAAGGAGGCCAACGGCAGTGATATTGGGGATGGTCCCTGGCTGGTCGGCAATAAGTTGTCGTATGCTGATGTGGCGTTCATTCCTTGGCAACTGACAGCACACACTGTATACGCCGATGAAGGGTTCGACGTTGATGAGTTCCCAAATGAGAAGGATTGGTTTGAGCGCATGGTTTCAAAGAAGCACATCAAGGCTGTTCTGGATTCTGCGAATGAGCAGCGGGCCAATTTGTCGAAAGAGTGATCGGTTGGGACTGCTATGGAGATAGAATTCGAGTCAAGGTTCATTTACAATATAACTGTGTCCTAGTTTCTAGTATTCTTGTTCTGTATTTGTTTTTTCTTCAATCTGGCTCGGGGTAATATGCGACTAGCACCCATGGATATGCGCACAAACAGAAAAAAGCATCATCCCAAATTCATCAGCAGATTGCAACCACCGCTCAATCTTCTCCCGACGGGCGTCTGTTCCAGTCTCAGCGGACTTCCACAGCTCTGATATCTCGAGCATCCCATCCTCCCAGCGAGACAAGTGTCGATTGTATTCTCTTTCCCAAAATGTGCGGTCTGTAGCCTCCCAGAGTATTTTGCTTTCCGGAGCCATGGTCCCTCTTAGTTCTTCAGCAATAAAGTTCGGCAGCCCAACTTGGGTATTGTAGACGTTAGTAAAGAGATACATGGTAAAAAGGGTACGACGCTTGGCAGAGGCGACTATCCACGACTCCCAGCTCGGCCGAGTCTGGGATTCTTCTGCTCGGCATGTGAGACCTGTTTTGGCGGATCGGAAAGCAATTTCTTGCATTTGTATCTGCGCTTGAGTATCAAAAGGGTTGGGTACCTCGACGGTGTCTGTACGAGGAAAGAAATAGATCGTCATGGAGTAGATGAGATACGCCTGGAACGAGCATAGGCTGTCAAAGTCGCTTCGAGAGACATCCTTGTATCATATTAGGCTGACCTGTAACGAATAACAAGGTGCCAGCTTACCTGGTTTTCAATATCCCTCATCTGTCCTCGCATCGCCTCCAGAACCAAGGGTTCACAACCAGGAATCCGAGTCAACCACGTCCGAACCAAAGTGAAACAGTAAGCCAAGGTAGGCGGACAAGTCCCGGTCTGTTGCAAAGAATGAATAAATGGCGGGGCAACTGAGTTGAGTAGATTCCTAAGATACGATTTCAACACGCAGGTGAGATACTCTATGGTGTGAGCATTCAACTGCTTGGGCTCTTGGCCCGTCGAGCTTGAGATGTAGGGGCGTAGCCAGCGATCGCGAATTTCCTCTGCATCAATCATGGGGACCAGATCAATTTCTCGAAAGTTCAGGGCAACAGTGGAATCTGGATGGACTGGTCCACTATCCGCGATGGTAGAGTAACTTGAGGTATGGGATGCATTTCCTATGCTTTCAACCAGACTTTGAGGCAATGTGGAATCCAGAGGTGTTGTATCAGCAATAGTGCTGAAAGGGCTGGCATCCACAACAGCGTATTGATTAATTGCATTGGGACCACCTTTTGGTGTGACATGTGCTGGATATTCACAACTCATGCCTCGATCTCTGCATCGCTTGCATTTTGGCCTTCCGAGGTCGCATGCACTTTTGGCTTCTACGCATTTTTGGCATGCCTTTCTTCGCGAATTGCGGGGTTTTCGAGATGAAGCAGGGGTTGATGGTCCCGGTTTAGCTGGGACTTCTTCCATGTTGAAGGTGACGTGGAACCTGAGGAAAGTTCGGAATTCCGTGATGAGTTTCGGAGTTCCGCACCAAATGCCAAGCCATGAAGTCATCCCACCTGGGCACCTCTTATGGCTACTAAGGCAAATTTGCACTCTTTGGAGTTGAAATGTTGTCTAGAAAATCACGCATTGGCTTCGGTTTAGCTGTTTGTATCTCAAGCGTTTACTGTGATACATTAAGGCCAGTTTAAAATCTCCAGTTCTTTCTCCCAGTTACCTAGTACTTTTTGGCTTCTTGCTTTCACCTCTTATGGTTCACTACATGAAAGCTTCACCACATGTTCATAGAAGTTAGGAAAAACAATTTGATGCCTTGATTTGAAGGCGTTGGATTAACCTTAAACGGCGTGGCCAACTAAACGACCCATATCGAAGATCTGCGGAATTCCGAAGCAGGTCCAGATCTCCCCGCAACTATAAAATCCCCTGCCGATCTCACCCAACAACATGCTTTCAACCAAACCAACAATTACAATTACAACTCAACTCAGAATCCATTGACTATGTCTCAAGTCTACACAACAGACCACTCAACCTCAGTCCTCCGCACACACAGCTGGCGCACAGTCTCCAACTCCGCGCCATATCTCCTCCCACATCTAAAACCAGACATGAGAATCCTGGATGTAGGCTGCGGACCTGGCTCAATCACGGTTTCCCTCGCAAAACATGTCCCATCTGGACATGTTACAGGCGTGGAATACGTGCCCGATCCACTAGAAGGCGCCCGTGCCCTTGCACAAGCCGAAGGCGTGTCGAACATTACCTTCCAAGAAGGAAATATTCACGCTCTGCCATTCCAGGATAATACCTTCGACGTGGTACATGCACACCAAGTTCTACAACATATCGCTGATCCGATTCATGCGCTGAAGGAAATGCGGCGAGTCGCTAAGGACGGCGGCATTGTTGCATGTCGTGAGTCGGCGGAGCTAAGCTGGTATCCCGAGTCTGTGGGGATCGCTAAGTGGCGCAACGTTACGGAGCACATGCAACTTGCTAAAGGTGGCAACCCGCATCCTGGGAGGATGATTCATGTTTGGGCGCGGGAGGCTGGGTTTGACAGTGGACATGTGAAAAGGAGTGCGGGGGCTTGGTGTTTTGGAAGCAACAATGAGAGAGCTTATTGGGGTGGATCTATGGAGGAGAGGGCTAGATCTTCTGGGTTTGCAAAGAATGCCGTTGAGGAGGGCTTTGCAGAGCCGAAGGATTTGGAACTTATTGCGAGGGGGTGGAGAGAGTTCGTGGAAGATGACGATGCCTGGTTTGGTTTGTTGCATGGGGAGATATTGGGTTGGAAGTAAAATGGAACAAGTGTTGTCTTTAAAAACTTGGCACGGCATTTAAAATAAATGGTAGTAGAGAAATATCTGAATGCAATGTTAAGGAACGGCAAAAGTAATGATGTAAAACCTTCGCAAAATGCAACCCTCAAACCTAGCAAAGAACGTGAATCTTAAAATAACGATCGATTGATGGAAGACCTTCAACAGCCCATGGGTGACGATAATCACCAACCACCATCACTGTGGTCTGACTCATGAGCCTCTTCTTCGTCGCGACGTCCCTGCTCGTAGGCTTCTTCGCGATCTGACCTATCAGAGTCCTCACCTAAAAAGATAATTAGCATGTGAAAAAACAAAGCAGTTCAAGCAAAAGAGACCACATACCAAGCTCATGTGCGAGCAAAGCACCGCCAAGACCACCGACGGCCAAACCAGCAGCACCAGCTGCGAGATACTTCCCAGCATTGCTGCTCTTCTTCTCAGGCTCCGGCTGCTGATAGTAGCTAGGGCTAGGATTATTGTAAGGCACAGGTGGAGGGCCCTGGGGAGGCGCATAGTATCCACCCTGGGGCGCGGGAGGAGGAACGCTGCGAGAACCATCATTGTACCCAGAGTAGGCGGGCTGCTGGTAAGGCGTCTCCCACTGAGAGCGACCAGTAGCCTGTTCTATGTAGAACGCGCGACGGGCGTTGGGCTCCCATTCCTGGACCCAGCCCTGGGGCAGGGGAGGCGGGGGACCTGGAGGAGGACGAGCTAGAGGTGGGGGTGCACTGTATGGGGCCCGGTCGTATGCTGGGCGACCGGCGTCGTAAGGAGGACGGTCATATCCATCTTGAGGAGGGCGCGCATAAGGATCAGCGGGTGGGCGCCCGTAGGGGTCGTATGGTGGACGATCTGGGGGAGGGCGAGCATAAGGATCGCCGTAAGGTGGAGCGTACGACATAATGATGGTTGGTATGGGGAGGTGAAGGAGGGAAGAGAAAAGGAATATAACAGAGAAAGAGGGGACAAAGGGCTTTTATGGGAAAGCGCAAAGAACACCGTTGTAGACCATCACCTTCCGCCCAGAACCGAAAGAGACAACTCCACAATCTGTCCAACAGAATTATGCCCCCACTTCTAAGGAGTTACATGTTAGCGCCCAAGTTTACGCAGTACGTCTACTCCGATTAGGCAGATGCAATATAAAATGCTCCACGAGCCCCTGGAGTGGGCAGGATGGTCAGATTGACAATCCCATAGCCTTGCAGGGCTAGTCAGCCAGATGACCAATTCGAATTCAGCACCTGAACATGCCAAGTGGCCCTTGTTTAATGTTCAGGTGTCACAATAAGCCGTATACTTACGGACTACTCCGTAGAGGGGTTGCATTACATATCAGGAGCAACTTTGCTCCACACGGGAGCTTGACTATTTGTTTCCACGGTTTGACCTCGGATACTTGGTATATAAAAAGGGGTCCATATATTGGTAATGTATAAATAAAAAAACCCAAAAAATAGGGGGAATATTGCCCACAGTGGAGAGTTCCCCTCTATAGGGGGGGAAGTGATTAAGGATTGCGGGATAAAATCAACCTGTCGTGTGCCACCTAGGTACCGCAGAGCCACGATGTGGCTCAGGCAAACCGTGTCGTGGGAAACACAGCCACTGACTGTCACACACGTGGCTGGTGGATATAGGAATTGGGGCTTGGCACATTTAGTACGCTACGAGGGAGTGGTGTGCTCCGACAAAACTAGTTGCAATTAGTTTCATAGATATTTAAGCGCTAAATCAGCATGTGTCTAATGCAGGTAGGGCTGGGATGAAGGGCGCTATGTACCGGGTTGCTACAAAGGGCCTGCGATGTCGTACTCCGTACGGAGTACTCAGTAGAAAAGTATTTCTCACCTTACGCTAACGTTTGCGACCCTGAAACAGTCGACAAGAAAGATCTGCGTGCTGAATCAATAGTAGCAACTTCGAACTATTTTCTAGACTTCATTTGCAGAAGGCTAGTATATGCATATTGACTTATCAATCTTCCTATCTTTAGAAACGTAACTCAATATGTGGTGACTTTTTTTTTCGAAATGTGCACCCCGCGTATACATATGTACGATATACATACGCGCCGGGATCGGACTTCGGCTGAAATAATGCGCGGAACGAGAGCGGCCTGGACCCAGCCTGCGCGGGGCCATACGGGACCGACCGCGACGATCGGACACATGGAGCAGTTCCCCGTGATTTTTTCAACCAGAGTTGCTAGAGCAGTTTATGTACATATGTACGGTTAACGGAGTATGGCTTAGAAGATTCCCAAATATACCAGCCTACAATACGAGAAGGATTTCCGGAAAAGATACGTCGAATTTACGATTCCTGCTTACGCTACGTGCACTACAAACTTGGCTACTAGAGCAGCAATAACAGATCTTTCGAGTTCGAGGAAAGCGTGCCATTATAGTAGTGTAGTTATGAACGGCGCTCTAGCGCTAGCAATCAAAGGGGATCAATCGGCGCACATACGATTGATAGTGGAAACAACCTACACTCAACATCCCATCACCGCAAGTTCAGGACTATGCCCCTGAGCCTGCGATAGCACTTAACTCCTTACTGGGCGGGTAGAAGAACGCAGATAGGCTGGGGATTGGTTAGCACATGGAAGCGACATTGAGGGTAGGGATAAACTCACGCAATGATGATATAGGCTGCAATTAGGAGGACACCCTCTAGGTAGTTGCTTCGGCCGTCCAAGACGAGGAAGTTGACAACGAAAGTGGTGACAAAGAGACAAATAGTCTCGAAGAGGGTGAAGTAGAGAGACATGTCCTTGTCCATACACCAGCCCAGGATGACGACCAGTGGTGTGACGAAAATAGCTATTGGAATGGTCAGAATGTGCACGTGTAGACACCTCATCAGGAATGGATATAATCATACCAATTTGAATACTACTACCAACAGACACACCAATTGACAGATCCATCTTATTCTTAGTGGCAACACTGACGGCAGTGACGTGCTCAGCTGCATTGCCAACGATGGGCAGGATAATGAGACCGATGAAAGCTTCGCTGACGCTTGAGCTTGCGATCATGTCGGGAATGGCGTCAACCAAGAATTCAGCGCAGACAGCTACCAAAGCAGTCGAGAGCAGGAGCATGACGACAGCAGCGGTACGTGACATTGCGGGTTCCGGGGCTGGAGAAGCTGTCTCCGGACCCACGATATCATGCTGATCAGTTAGACGAGAAGCACCACGGGCGAACTGTACTGCGTTTCCGGCCAGCGGAGGACGACTGATATGCGCGGGGAGTGAGTTGCTGCGAGAGATTCCAGGGCGCGAGGCAGCGGTTCCGATAAGGGGTGAGCCCGCTGGTGACTGGGAGCTGAAAACAGTGTTGGAGAGTAGAGATGGAATGGGTCCGAAAGGAGAACGGCGTTTCCGGGGATCATCTCCTGCACCTTCACAGCCAGCGACGTTAGAGGCTGATGGGGATCCATTGAGGATCGGACGTGGATCGGATGAGGGACCGCTGTCCTCCGGTGCCACGATCTGAGCCTTCTTCTCTTCTTTCTGAGCCTTGCGCCTCTTGTGGTCGCGTTTCTTCGACTTCTTACTCGCTTTGCTGTCCATACGGCTTAGGGCCAAACCAAAGTCGCGGGAACGGACTGCTGAAGAGGACTGAACGTCGTCATCGGCATCGTAACGAATTTCATCACTAAGCTCAATGGCGTGTTCATTGCTCCCAATGGAATTGGAGATTGAAGCCTGATTTTCATTGGAAGTCGATGCCATACCCCTTTTCTGGAAGGAGTTACGGGAGGTTGTCCCTTTCGAGCTTGTGCTTAACTTTCGGTGTCTGCGGTACTTCATTGCTCTTTTAATCCGCTTGGCGGTGGTCCAGGAAGTCGTGGTGTCATCCGACTCGTCGCTGGAGCTGGATGAGGAGTCCGAAGAGCTGTTCATGAATTCTGCCAAAACACCAGGTTTGGATTCCTCATCAATGATGGCCTGGGGGATACTGGCATAGAGATACGAGTGTGTTCTCAGCTGGAAGATAATGTAGAGAATGTACACCAACAGAAGAACGACACTGGTGCCACGGCTGACTTTGAGCGTCTCGCGATCGGCATTTGTGGTATCTGACCACGAGGCGTGGAAAGCAGTGGGCAAGAGGAGACTGACCACACTCAAACTAAGCAGACAAGCACTCATTTGAGTGACAGTACTGTTGTAAATCTGTTCTCGGAAGCGAAGGCCACCAGCCAAAAACGCCATGCCCATGATCAACAACAGATTGGCGAGAATGGAGCCGAGGAGAGAAGCTTGAACGATGCGAATCTCATTTTTGACCAGAGCGATGATGAAGATGATCAATTCGACTGCATTTCCGAAAGTTACGTTGATCAAGGCTCCGATGGTGTCACCGAGACGACTAGCGACACTCTCCGTGGCATGACTGAGCAGTCCAGCCAGGGGAATGATAGCCACTGCATTCATCGCGAAGATGATGGCTGGGTTGAGACCCGCGGCCTCACATGCAATACCGACCGGTACGAAGATCAGCAGGACATTAACCCAACTGTGGCAGATAGCGTCCGCGGTATGATGGTAGAAACGGCCGGAGCCATTTCGCATGCGGATCAGAAGACCCGGCTTTGAGTTGGATTCCGTGGCGGACCCCGGAGTAGAGTCCTCCACTGGCACATTCACTTGTCCATGTTGAGGAGGTTTTTCGGTATTGACAGGGTCGGCGGCCTGTTGTGAGGGGGTCTGATCTGGCAGGCCGCTAGAAGACGCGTGAGCTTTCGCCCACGAGTGAATCCGGTCTGTAGAAGGAACATTGTTAGCCAGATCCAGAGTGGAGATAAGATCTCGGGATAGCTATAGCTATAGCTATAGCTTTGAGCGCCTCTCTGGATACTACTTACGCATGTATTTCAGGAAAAAAAAGACAGATGAAAGAAGGCAACAAGCCTTTGATGATAAAACAATAGATGAAGTTAGAAAAAGATAATGTCGACAGTTGACACGCGAGTTCTAAGTTCTCTTAAGGGGGGACATGGAATCTTGGAACGGAGCCAGGCTTATTTAGGTAAGATCTTGGCAACTTGGCATGATGATTTTCCAACGCCACACTCTTTTTCCCGTCCTTTTGTCTCAGCCCTGGAGATCCTGATTAAGACCTTACCAAAAGGAATGTTTAATATTGACCTAATATTACATTCTCAACCTCGCGTAGTCTGTCGTCACCCTACACTATATCCCTAGCATGATGTCAATCCTGAAATGCTCCAGGGGCTACTCTATATATTGGTCCTTAATATCCGATTTAATCCAACGAATGACGCGTTCATCACGAATCTCCCTATAAGGATGCCAAGGGTGAAAGACGGGAAGACCGGGTCCATTATCTACTAAGTCAACATTATTGGTGAATCTTTGTTACGATCGACCATCAGGCTACCATATTTGGATGGCATACTTATTGCCATTGAGGTCTTGGTTTCGCTTATTCTCGTCCCGCCTTTGAATAGGTGTTTTTTGGACACTAGATCGATGTACAATATGATATGTGTTGTATGTGTGCGCTGTCGTACTTCACTAGTGACTGGGAATGACGTCATTTGTATGTATTTTCGGAACGGCTTCACAAATGTCCGACTATCCCACGACAAACAAATACGACTACGTGGATGTAGGTCTGCTGCGCCTCTCAGTGTTTTGGCCCACAGTTTCATATCCGCACTTGTGGCTGTGTCTGCCTATGTCACTATTGCCACAATCTACCATCCTCGGATGTTACAGGTGAGTTCTTGACTCTGAGACAAAAATAGTCGGCCACCTTTGCAGCCTTATGAGGTCTTCTTAGCTGGGCTTCTAGCTGGGCTTTTAGGTGGTCTTTAAGCTGTTCTTTAGCTGTCCTCTTAGGTGTATATGTAAGCGGT